CCCCACAGGCACGACGCCATCACCAGTACACACACCAGAGCACCGAGGACTGCGGGGCGTTAGGGCTGGCCCGCGAGAACTGGGCTCCCCGCGACACCAAAGAACAGCAACCGAGCCGTCACCAACGCAGCGCAGCCCGGCCGATACGCCCTCCCGCCGGCCTATACCAGACGCGTCCCCCCTGAACCCCGCATCGTCATCGAGCCAGAACACTCCCCAGCGCCCTGTACCGCAGACCTCCTACAGCACGCCGCCGAACCCGCGCTCATCAGCCCAGAGGATGCCCCTACCAAGGGAAGAGAGCTTCGACATGTCCTACGCCGCGCCCAAGCCATACGAAGTGAAGCCGATTGATCCGCTGCCACAGCATGTCCGGCACTCAGACCAGAGGAGAATGTCGCAGGAAGACGGTCGATCTCCTAGGAGCCAGGCACTGCAGCACCCCGAGCCAGTACATTCTCACTCAGCACCAATTGTGCCAACGCAGCACGCGTATGAGTCTCCGGCGCAATCGCAAAAACTGCAGGAGCAGCAGAAGCAGATCGAGTACCTGCAGCAACAGCTACTCCAGCATCAGCAGTTTGAGCCTCAACGCATCGAACCGGCCCCGCAGCCATCTCAACCATACGCGCAAGAACAGTACCAGGATCCAACTTATCAAGTTGCACCCTTGCGTAGCAGCCGTAGCCGCGAGCAGGCCCAGGAGCAGGCCCCTCCACTCGACCAATACTACGGCCAACGGTTCATCGAGGCCCCTCCTCTACACGACGAGAGCCCCACGCATCGGAGACGCAGCGCTATGCAGCCCATGGTCGAAGATGAGGACGACATGCCCCCACCACCACCAATGCATAAGCGCAATGCCAGCACATTACCTCACCCGAACCAAGAGATCCCTGAGCGCGAGCGCTACCGCGATGAAGCCCCCGCGCCCCTCAGCTTCTCGGCAAGATCTCGTGAGGAGCCCCGTCAGTTCAGCTACGATATGCCGCCCCAGCAACATGAGCCCGATAACTACGCGCCTCGACAACCTGCAGAGCGACGCTACACTCATCCTCGCATGCCAGCGCAGCCATCAAGTCGTCCAGTTTCTCGCGACAATATGGTGCCATCCCCACTACGACAGGAACCCCTGCGACAGGAAGCACCAGCATTACCGAGTGCACTCATCGCTGGACTGAACCCACAAAGACAGGAGATTGAAGCGCCACCTTACGAAGCGCCCCCATCGTATGAGACACCACCGAGACTGCGCCACTACTCTGAGCCTGCAGAGTATCGGGCCATCACTCAGTACGAAGACCCTGTTCAGTCGCAGGAACTAGTTCATCATTCTGCGTACCAAACGAACGACTATTATCCTCATGACCCGCCTGAGCAGCCTCGACAGATGTCTCCCCCAGTTTACGATGCCGGCCCTATCATCAAGCCGCGTGCTACGAGTCCTAACGTGAGCTCACGCTACTCTCCCAACCCAGCAATGGACCGCTACTCACCCAATCCGATCATGGATCGTTACTCTCCCAACCCTGAGATGGAACGTCACTCTCCTAACCCAGCTACCGATCGCTCGTCTAGGTTGCCTGCGAGGAGTATGCCGACGCGTAAATCAGTCTCACCTCGCCCACCGCCTTCCAGAGAAGACATGGGTGAGCGACGACTGTCTGGAGTAGCCTTCAACCCCGACAGTTTCGATGTCTACAACCCTCGGATCAGCAAGTCTCCCATACCTTCGGACGACGAACTCGAGCGACCAGGAAGCCGAATGGAGTACAACGACAAGGGCCAGATTGTCACATTCAGTGGACGGGTTGTCGATGCGTCCGACCATTTACCCGTCGACAACTGGGCGCCTGAGCCAGTACCAAAGGGCACCGTGAAGGAGAAGGCTCCTCGAACAAGGGCTCAGCTCAACGGCAGCAGAGATCTCGAGGCCGCGATGCAACGCGAGGAACGATACCAACGAGAGCGTGCTGACAGAGAGCGCATTCGCCATGCAGCTAGCATGAACTTCGACAACAGCAACGCCCTAGTCACGACGAGACATGACTTCAATAACGACTACAACCAGCCTGTAAATGCGGGTGCGCTGGTACTCGCAAGCCAGAGCCAGTACAACGCACCTCCCAATCCAACAGCACGCAGCAGGCCCACAAGGCGAGACCAACGCCCCGTCTCCGCCTATGACACACCACCGCAGTACCAACTCCCAGACCGACAGGTCCTCCGCGAACGCGACACCCCCAACAGCTACGGCAGCAGCCCCAGCTACGACCGACGTGGTACCCAAAGGCATAGTGTTGCGGCACCGCCTATCCCTGCCAAGGTGCCCATGGACATGAACGGCGGCGGCTACGGCACACAGAATGAGGACATGGCACTCAGCTTGGAGCTGCAGAGCATTGACATCGGTCCCGGTTCTGGTGGACGTAGGCCACGCGCCGCTACGGCTAGACGACAGTACGGATACTAATGGCACAATACGGAAACGCTATACACACCATACCCTTCTTCACGCTTCTTGATGGCGCTTGTACGATAATGTTTTTTTGATTGTGGTGGAAGCAGAGTTTTGAGTTTTCCTTTTCTCTTTCCCACACACTTCTTAGCTCGATGTCTGGACGCTGGAGCCTGGCATGTCGGAGTACTTTTTCTTTCTTCTTCTCTCTTCTCTCTTCTCTCTTCTTTGATCGATGCCTTGGGTTATCTATCATGCATAGCATTTGGCTTGCGTAGATTGTGGTTTCTTCGTACGCCCTCGTGCGTCCTCTTTTGCACTTTTTGTAGTGTTCTGCTCTGCTGGCTTGATATTGAGCGCGAAGATAGATACCAATACCTGAATATGTCTATTTCACCCAATCTCTCCTATCGAAATGGTACTGCGATGACGCAGAGCGAGACGAGCCACTTATGACTCCCCAAATACATAACCACCACATACGCAAAAGGTACTCCTCATCAAACGAGAGAGATCGCAATCCTCAGACTCTCTTATCGAACGTAACCCACTTCACAGCTCCAGTGTCAGTGACTGAAACTCGAAGTAAGAGCACACCTACAGCTGCATACAATGATCGCAAGGTGTGTCGAAGATACCATACATTACGATTACATACCGTTTCACTCGACTGTTTGCGCATCGGCATGTTCGACAAAAAAATCCCATCACTCTTGAGTTCTCCGTCGCCAAATGATCACACTACCGGTCCTCTTCTTTGTCTCCGTCATAGCCAACAGTTGGTTCCGCTGTGGATCTTGCCAACACGAATGTGCGCGTCATCGAGTCTTTGTTCGCCGTGCCGTGACTACGGAATTGACTTACGCTAGAGCCTTCTGCTGCCTCTATCGTAGCGATGTAGCCACACGATCTTCGAGCATGGTGTTACAAACAGCATTTGTCACCGTTCCACGAGTGTATATACGCCGTAGTCTGCCCTAAGTTGCAGTGTGACGATGGGGACACTCGGGCAGACCCTACTTCTATGGCCACATACTGCGACCTGCAAGATCGAAGACTCCTTATATATGGACCTCCTCCACTCTTTGATGACTGCGGCAGCTGGATTCTACTCGATTATCCTATCATACACGCTCTGGCCGCTACCGATCTCCCCTCCCTCACCCGCTATGTGAACACGATGGCCCTAAACACCTACACCTTGATACCCTGAGCAACCTGATCACAGTCATTTTTGTTCAGCTAGACGCAGAGAAGTCATTCAGATATGACTTGAATTCACGGTCGGGTACCTCCAATAGGAGTCATCAGCAGTATAAAGCTCTCGGTTTCTCGTAGGCAAGTGGTAGACCAGAATCATACTCACTTCCTCATTGAACATACTGAACATATTCAACACCTCAAACTACCATCTATCACCTCCAGTCCAAAACCATGTCTAACAGCGCGGGAGCCAACGGCGTCCAAACGAACGGTGTCAATGGCACGCACACGAATGGCGTGCAGACCAACGGCACATCTACCGATCCCCCGATGAGCGCTATAAATAAGATTGGAAGACGTACTCTCGATCGTCCCTGCCGACAAGTCGTTTACCAAATCGAAAGTAGGTTGTCAAACAACGACTGCAAGAAGTGTCCATCTGACCATGATGCAGGCGTAGCGGCTGTGATCGATCCAACCTATCAACGCGTCCTCGGATCTGGTTCCTCTGGTCCCTTTACAATCGAGAGCCCTTCCGCCCGTGGCGGAGGAACTCGGCATGTTATTACGTGTACTCTGCCCAATGGATACTCGGACAATGGTTGGGCGGACAACGATGTCTTCAAGGCTTTGGAAATGCTTCGGGATAGTTTGAATGACGCGGATCGCGTGGACCAAAGGCGCGCGCGCGCTTAAGGGATGTTGTATCAGGGGTGTTGGGTCAGGGATTTTGTAAATCTGGGTAACGTGCGGTTGGCGGAGACGGACCAATGATCATACTGTCATTTCAGGAATGATTTCATTTGTTAGATACAGAATGGGTGCTAAATAAATCGATCAAGTCCTAAGCGATTGAGAGAACGAAAGAACAAGGTGTGATTATCTTGATGCTATCAGAGTTCTACATCGCTCAGTCACGCCATCATCTCGCAAAGTGATGGGCTCTTCTAGGGCCTAAGAATATGCCTTTCCTCCCATTAGTCACTAAGTCTAGCTGTTTGAAGAGTCTTACCCCTTTCGTAGTATCGTTCACAACCTTACTTTCTATCTCGCTCCGCGGATCACCAATGCGAGCACAGCTTACATCTCATGTCAAGTGCCCAAAACACGTTCGAGTTTGACGAATCAGTACAAAATATTTCTCAACACAGTAGAGTACACTTCCATTTAGTCCTTCTAAGATGGTTCGAAGGCCAACGCTAGTCAATTGAACAGAAGGTAGTAGTTGTAACCGTGTGAGTGTTTGCAAGTAGTACTTCCAACTCCTTGTCCTGTATATCTGAACTAGCTATCCAAGTCGCATAGGTGCCCATGTACCCAGACCTAATCGGCAAGGCAGTCACCTCGTCCTCCGCCTGGCGGGCTTGTTTCGCGGGTACTCCTCCACAGCTTGCAGCATTTCTGCCACTGCTTTTCTCAGCAGCGTCCTTTCCGTTATGAGCGAGCGAAACTTTCCGTCCGACTTCATTTCCACCTTAGCTTCAATCTCATACTTCGTTCCTCCTGCCTTGATCTCCTCGCCAGTGTCGGGGTACTCTATGCAAGTGATCTTGATTCTTTCATCAATTTTTTGCGTGTCGTCGTACTCGGGATCAATCTTCTTCATTGATTCTGTACCATATGTATACGTTAGCGTTGCCACCTTGGTATGCACTTTCGAGTTTGAGTGAAAATAGACTTGACATACCGTTCATGCGGATAAGTTTTTTTCCAACATGTTTGTAATCAGACAGATTGGGGTCCATGAGTTCTTGGAGGTTTACTGGGAATTTGTTGAGTCCCTTGCAAGACTTCTGATCGTTGGAGAGAGGTATGCCACCGTCGCTGTCGTTGTCGTTGTCGTTGCCACTCATACTTGTCACTAGAGTGATGAATTTATGAAATTATGGCCTTGATGTTTGAATGAAGAGTATTCCAGTTTTGTGTAAGAGATTGTGATGAACCGCAACTTTGGTGCTACGATGGGTAACTGTTCCTTTATACAGTACAAGAGTCACTGTCTAGGACAGTCTGGTCATCACTCTGACGCCGGGACGTAGATGAGTAACTTTCGATGATAACATTTCTGCAGAGTCATCTACATTCATTGCTCATGCGCTATCTAAGACACTGCTTTATGTGTCACTTTCTTTTCCTTGTACAGTCTTTGCGTCCGTCAATACGTTAAAAGATGTACCTGTTGGCCTTAGGCATGATTTTGCACTTCAATCTCGTTAATTCAGGCTGGCGCAATGGTTGAAAAACAGTCACCAGGAAGATACATCTCGTGATCGAGAAGGAAGTTTTGGTATAGTTCTATAATCTCACTTCTTACTTTATGTGCTCTCGAGATGACACCTTGTTCTCAGTTTACTCTCGGCGCCGCTCTCGATTACAGCTCATTATCAAATTACAGTCAATGACGGTGAAGACGAGAAACCATATGTACGCAGGTATTTTACACAACCAGTCTGTCCCATCATTTGCACAGACACAGTGCCCTCCGCCAGAACCCTAGTTCCTTCTTTCTTCCCGTGCTATACTCGACTCCTAGCTGGTCGGCAAGATTTTTCAATGCCTCCCCTGCGGTCTTTGCAGGTGCACTCCTCACAGTTGTTGGATTGCTCTCAACCGTGACAACTGCTTCGGCTTTCATATCGTTCGGCGCAGTCCATTTGATCTCGACTTTCTCCACGGAGTCGACCCGCGGATGCGAGAGCACGTATGCCTCTACCCAATGTTAGATTCTGAGCGTTTGGGGTAGAAAAGCTGACGTACTTTTAATACGTTCAATGAGATCCATATCTTCTCCCGACAAGTTGCCCAAAGGACACCGGCTTTGCAAAATCTCGCGATTGTTATATTGCACGGTCGTCATTGTGGCCGGGGTAAATCTTGTGGCTACCTCGGCCGCATGAGGATCAAGGTAAGGTGACACATCGGAAACATGCGATGCTGTATATTCGACAATCGGCGATGCGGGCTTCGGGCGTGCGGCTCCCTCTATCTCGAAGGGATCAAGATAAGCTAGATCATCGTCGACATTCTGTACTGGATATCCAGTGGCTCTCATATCAGGTCGTGATGGTAGCGGAGGTTGCTGCGCCTGCTGCGAACGAAAAGGTTTCAGTCTGTCGCGTCTTGGCTCTACATCTGGCTTGCAGTGTATGTCATTCTGTGAGTGACGCTGTGTCGTCGTGCTCTTGGCCCGGAGTGCCGGCCGACGTTGGTAAGGCGAGAGAAATGCCCCATGGTTGTCGGCAGGCTGTTTGTCCTCGAACTCTTCAGTGAATTTACTCGTGTTGGCTGAACTTTGTACGCGTGTGTGTTCGACACCTGGCCGCTTTATTTGCAGCGAAGGTGGTATGTTGGAATTCCCCGTCCGGCTTGTTGGTATCTCTGCAACCATAGTGTGTGTAATACCCTCGTCCGTCTTCTGCATACGGAGCTCACTTTGGGAGGGATGTGAGTATCCACCACTGGTACGTGTTTGATCCGAAGGGTAAAATTGGTGTTTAACGCTGGTTCCATTGTGTTTGGAGACTAACTCTGCCTCGGGAGCGTCGGAAACTCTCGATACATCACTATGTGACCTGTGGACGTCAATCTGCGAATCCACAGGGCTGACATTGTAACGATCGACGGTGTTTTGCGCAGGCTGTGTGCGAATCCAGGGCGCCATGGTAGAAATTCAGGGAGGATAGTTCTATGCCTAGAGTGTGTAACGAACTTATACACGCGATGTATCATGCTTCTAGTTGACTGTGCATGACCAAGCTCGATATAGTGACTACGACCCACTCACCGTTACTGAGAAGAGCACATGACGAGAAGTAGAAAGATGAGGTGATGATGATCATACTGCAGCGTATATTATCGTCATTTTGTGACTGACTAAAGGAAGAAACTCCGAGCTGGGGTATCTGTACGCGAAACGCTCAAGGAGAACTATGCTAAACTGCGACTACTTTTCTTCCATGACCGATGTGGTCTACTGTCTTGAGTCATCAATGTTTATTACATCGAGTTGACTAATAAGCCTACTCATACAAGCTCCGGTCGTTGGGGTCGTTTTTCGGCGGGGGAGGAGCAGTAGCCGGTGCGGCGGGCTCTTGTTTTGCTGCATCGTCTGTCGTTGTTGCATCGCCAACATTCACAGGTGGTATCTGCGGAGCTCCCTCAGGCACAGGACGTGGTGGAAGTGGGGGTGACGGGCCCTCGGGTGAGGGGCTTCGAGGCGGTGCTTGTTCTGGCATCGTACCGACGTTCGGCGGGGCGCCATACGGCGTAGGCATATGGGAGCCGTTCTGAGGAGCAGTATGCGCGGCCTGAGGGGCCTGAGGTGCCATAGGAGAGACATTGCCCATCTGCTGCTGCGGTTGTGGGTAGCCCACTGCCGAAACAGGAGATTGAGACACGATGGGTCCAGCCTTGGCTGCATCGCCGTAGTAGCCAGCTTGCTGAGGAGGTGGGTACGTGTAGCCTTGAGGTGGGACGAAGCCTCCATTCTGTGACATGACCCAGCCCGGAGGCGGAGGGCCGTAGTAGTAAACTTGACCAGGAACCATGGGCTGGGAAGCACCGGGTGTTTGAGCCATAGCCGGGTACAGTGGCTGACCCGGCGGTACGAAGCCGACGGTAGTCTTGCTGAACTGACCCAACAGCTCTTCGGGGTATCGATGACGGAATCCCCACTTCCACCAAGCCTTGAAAGCCGCTCCACTACCCATGTTCTTCCACCTCTCAGCCAACATCTTCTGGTCTTCAGCACTTCGGCGATCTTGCATGCGAGTAAAGCAGAGTACCCAGAGCGACATGAGAATCCAGCAGACGGTACCAAAACGCATGGCACTCTTACCGAGCATGAGGCGACGGAACCAGAACCAAGACTCGAGGAATCCAAGTAGGAAGAGCCCGGGGATTATGCATGCAATAATGATGATCCATGTAATCACACGAGATCTACAATAATAGTAGTAGCAACTGTCGTATGAGCTGTCGCTGTCACTGTCGTCATTGTCTGAGCTGCCTCGATTTGAGCCGCCAGACGACGAGCTGTGAGTGTTGTACGATCCCGGAGGTGTACTACACTCCGCCATATAGACAGAGTAGTAGTAGTCCGACGTTGACGTGAAAGGCGCCGCGCTCTCGGAAAGGTACCATGTCTCCCAAAGGTAAAGGGTGCCGGAGTAGGCAGTGGCAGAGGATGTTTCAATCGAAGCTGGTGAGAGTTGCGCAGTAACCTGAGTTGGGACGTATACAGAGGCGGATGTTGTTATGGTAACTACAGGCAGTCAAAGTCAGTGTCGAAGAAATTCGAAGAGAGAACGTAGTACTTACATGGTGTGGGGCATGAGGCAGGTGCCGTCATCGTTACTGGCATGCTGAATTCGATATCCCTGACTGTCTCGGTGGTCGTCGCCGTCGCCGAAGGGGAAGTCGCGTAGTAATCATACTCAGGCACAAGATCAGATTCGGCCACCGCACTAGTTGTGTAATACGCGTATACGACCTCAAGATCGTCGTAGTAGCCGAGGGCTGTGGACGTCGAGTACGGTGCGATCGTAGGAGTGACTCCATCCTTGATAGTGCGGTATTCAGTGTAAGTCTCGGTAGCGACGGTGTCGTCATAATATGTGTACAGGCTTTGTGTGGCAACCTCCGCTTGAGCGTAGGTGTAGGTCCAGTATGCTGAAGTATAACGAGTGGTAGTGTAGTCATCATCCAAGAACTGCGCGCTCGCAATGGCGGCATTAGCGATCGCTACGAGGGCGAATCGGGCAGCCATATTGCTATCCGCTGAGAAAGTAACGATCGTGGGTCGCGAAACGCGAAAATTAGATATTAGTAAAGTTGTAGGGCTGTCTCCAGCCGTCAGGGCCACGCCCTCATCTTAAGCACCATCAAGCACCGCGCCGCCGACCCAGACAACTACATGGCTAGCTCACCGGTCGTGCAAAGCATGCAGGCACATCTCGTTTCCCCTTAAGCGATTGATGCAGCCTTGCGCCTCTTCCAAGCTCTGTCTCTTTCAACCAATCATGCTGTTCTTGCCAAGCGAGTCAGCCAATCCCGCGGAAGATCTAGACGTTTAGCGACATTGAGCCGTCTATCTTTGGGTCCATGCGGCTCGTTGCAGACTCATTTTCTGCAGGGGTAAACAGGGCGCCTGAAGGATTAAAGACCTTGCACTGCCCTTGCCTTTATTGAAAAGGTGACTCCGACTCTTACTGAGCATGATGAAGCGCCAAACACGAACGATTTTGCTGTATAAACGCTGTAGCGGTTCTGAACGGGAATCAGGTCGAGAAAGCCAGCAATACGGCTCGTTGGTGATGGTTGCGCGATGCAGAGGGGTGGTTGCACAAGTCAGAATTCGTTTTGGTGGCGTTCTCGTACGACAAGTGCGACGTCTTGGCGACACCTGAACAGTCATCCTCGGCAATTTCTCGTTGGGAGTCCGTTCCTATCACGTTCTTCTCAAAACCAGACGTCCTAAAAGTGTACGCTGCTTACGGTATCAACATTGAATAAAACTGCCGCGACAGCCTCCAGGAGTATGAAGAATGTCACCTTTATGCTCACAGATCTTCATGCCTCGATGCCCAGTCTCTCTTATTGCCATCTCGAAAGTAACTCTGCTTTCACTAACGAGTTGTCCAAGTTACAACGCATATCTAGTGTGTTTCCGCCTTCTACAGCTACTCTGCCGCTATAAGTCTCGCAACATCCATTCCCCAGAGTACACCTTCGGTGCTGGGCCGTGTTTGCATGCACGGCGCAACTTCCGCTTCGTCGAGGTGCACGTAACGATCGTTCCCCAGACTTTGGCCATGCCCGTTGGTGTAACAAGTGCCATAGCTGTGTGAGGTCGCCGGGGATGTAGAGACCACCTAATCACTAGTAACTCCGTGACCAGTTTCTTGACTGTGCTTTTGCGACTGTTCATGAAAGCATCGGAATGACCCTGGTGATGGCATACTTCGTCTTCGACTGTGACTCACACTGGGTATAAAGTGTATGGCTGCGAATATACCTATCTCCGCTCGTTCTTTAGAAGGCCTTGCTGGGAATTTGCATCTCTTACCACTTACACCAACTCGTACTGTTTTCCAATGTGGCAGTGCATCTGCACTATCTTTGCTGGGAGTGGAAGAACCGAGACAAGTTTCCACAAATGGAAATCCATCGATGCTTTGGGTCCTGAGCATGAGCGCACGAAGCAAGACATCATCGGTAATTACGCCCGTTACTGCCGTTACCTGAACTCTACCGACTAAAGCCTGTGTCGCAACGTAGATGCCTGGGACCCAAATTCGCCGGGGAACTCCCTCAATGCCTTCAAGGTGCTCGTCGAACGGGAATACGTGCACCGCCTTAGAGGAACCCAGAGATATCAAGCGCGTCTTGTATCTTCAGCTGGTGGGCAGCCGCTTAGTGAAGCAGCAGTAGGCGATACAATCCCAGAAGCATTAAACAAGCTGTTGTTGGAGGTTCGGCAACTTCGAGGTCCACCACCGGGGTATCATTGCCCAGGTGATCTTCAAGTAGGATCGGGTATTCAGTCTTGAAAGTCTGTACCACCAGAAGGGATGATCGAGTGGGGCTACTGCGTATCTAGCGAGGTTTGAAGACGGCATCAGATGGCACTGCAGTGCCAGTTGGCGGTGTTCTCCAGGTCATATAGGATACGCGGATGGTCTCCAACCGTTCATCGCGTTTGCGAAGCATTTGACATGTCTAGATCAACGATGACAACGGTAATCGCCTCATACTCTTGCGTGATTGTCGTGCTTTTTACGGAAGTTGTACTCTGCTGGTGTGCGAAGTACCACTGCACGACGAGAGGGGCCTGTCCGGGTTCGATGCGCCTCTTACAGTGTCTAATTCTGGAATGAACAATTTTGGCAGTCCGAGGCTGAGCTCCGGTCTCGCTCGTAGTTCTGATTGAGGCGAGGAGTTGATGTTGGCCTTGTGCGACGTCGTGTTGGTGGCAGGACGGGATAGTGCAAAAGGCACACCGTTGTTGCGCGCCCCGCCCAGGCCCCGCCGCGTCACTCAGGTAGCTCCGCGCCGCTTCATTGACCACCAACTCCAACACCAACAGTAGCTCGGAAGCTCGATGACAATCGCTTCGAAGCAGTCATGGGGTCAAAGTCTCCAGAAGATCATCGCCAAGGCCCAGACGGTGAGCGCCATCGAAGCGATTCCGAGAAAACATTTGCTGACAGCTGACAGGGTCGTCGGCGGACGCTGCAATCGCTATCATCAACCCTCCCAAGCCAGCAGCCGCTAGCGGGCTGCTTCCAGGCGTACTCGAAGGGCAGGATGAAGACGGAGACGACGACGATGACATCGCGAAGCTTGGAGCTGACTTGAAGAACAACGATGGTGAGCTGGGATCACGTGACTTCGATCTGGAGCTGACAATGGGAAGGCGCGAAGAAGAAAAGAAAGCGCAACAAGAAGAAGAGCAAGAAAGTGTCACCGACACAGCAGACAGCGCCTCCAAGGGTGCCGGTAGCGGATCTGTACCAGAGCCGAAAATACCCGCAAGGTCAGACTGTGGAGTATGCCATCAAGGATGAGAACCTTCAGCGTACCACGGCTGGAGAGCTTCGTCATCTGGCGGCTGTGGATAACATGGATGAAGACTTCCTGGAGGACTATCGCAAGGCTGCTGAAGTCCATCGTCAAGTGCGCCAGTACATACAGACTATCGCGAAGCCCGGCGCGTCTCTCACCCGCATCGCCGAAGAAATTGACGACAGTGTTCGTACGCTCGTGGGCCACCAGGGTCTTGAGACTGGAGATGGTCTCAAGGCTGGCCTCGCCTTTCCAACAGGCTTATGCTTGAACAACATCGGCGCACATTGGACTCCTAATGCGGGAGCGAAGGAAGTCTTCCTTCAAAACGACGACGTCCTCAAGGTCGATTTCGGCGTGCATGTCAACGGCAGGATCGTGGATAGCGCTTTCACTGTGGCTGCCAATCCGATCTATGACAACCTACTGGCTTCTGTCAAGGCGGCTACCAACACAGGCTTGAAAGAAGCAGGTATTGACGCAAGGATTGATCACATCAGCGAGATGATCCAAGAGGTGATGGAAAGTTACGAAGTGGAACTCAAAGGGAAGACAATCCCCGTGAAGGCGGTGCGCAACATCACCGGCCACAACATCTTACGTTACCGTATCCATGGCGACAAGCAAGTTCCCTTTGTCAAGACCAAGACTTCTCAACGCATGGAAGAAGGCGACATCTTCGCGATCGAAACCTTCGGTAGCACCGGCAAAGCATATCTTCATGACGACGTTGGCGTCTACGGCTATGGGCGCAATGAAGGCGTCAGCGCCGCCGGCCTGCATCATTCATCTGCGAGATCGCTCTTGAAGACCATCGATGAGAACTTCGGCACGCTGGTCTTTGCCCGCCGTCAGCTTGAACGCTTGCCGGGTGTGGAGAAATACCACCTCGGTATGCGCACGCTGGTAAATAATGGAATCGTCCAGGCATATGCGCCGCTGGTGGATGTGCCCGGTTCGTTCATCGCGCAGTTCGAGCATGTAAGTAAGACGTTGTTGGGCATGTGGGCTATGGCTGACTCTTTACTTTGCAGACAGTATTGCTCAGGCCCAACCGCAAAGAGGTCGTCTCTCGGGGTGACGACTATTGAAGAATGACGCTTCATTGAGGTATACGCGATTTCAACAGTCGGTATAAGAACACCTAGCGAAGGTGCTTCAACACACCTTGGTTCCAATTTTTCCTATTCGCAAGTTGTATGTACCACGCTCGTTGACACCACTTGTTTACTGAAATTGTACTCGCGCGTACGATGTCTACTTCAGTGCAATATGAATAACAACATTTCATCACTGCAGCTCATCCGGAAGTAATTACAATGTCAATACATATAGATATCGACCCTTCCATAGGTTTCTCGTCCGACGTATCTTAATGGAAATACCCCGTTCGCTAATTGACATCGTAAAGTAGTGAGCAGGGATGAATCGGCATGAAGCAGGGCTGATGACGCCTGGAGCTGCACTATGGCAGAATATCGATGACTGATGCGCGGCACGGACTCAGATTGAAGAGCAGTAACAGTATGACTAGAAGACGGGTTGCGATAATCGTTAAATATATGTACTCATTAGCCTGTGCGTATATGAGTCGAACAAAGGTTACAGTTGGAGTCACTCCTCATATAAATTGACAGCTTTGCTAACATGTACACACTTCACATCAATCCTCAAGTTCAAACGCAGAATCCACACCGCAAGATGACTTCCATATGGCCAACTGTCGTCCTCCAAGAAATAGAGAAGAAGCGAGAATCAAGAACGGCAACGTCCGCGGCTTCTCAGGCCGATGAGAGATTATCTGGTTCGGCAAGCGTCTCACAACAGCACTCAAGCACATCGCCTTTCAATCACCATACCGCCGCTCGAACTTCGACGCAAACTCTGGCTGTGGGGAAACACGGCAGTCTCGCATCGAACCACGGATTGCTCTTCTCGAAGATTGCATTCCCTGATCTCGCTGAGCTAGGCTTACTCAGGGCTTACTGGCCACCGATGAGTATGAGACAACTTCTAAGTTTGATAGCAGGCGGCATCACTGACATAAACTCCAGCCCACCGCGCTCGAGTGGAAAACTTGGCTGAGAAGAACATGTCCATAGAACTCATCGAAGAGGTTCAAAACGGTGAGGACTCGTTCAAGGTTGTTGTCAAATACACCGAAACAGGCAAGAATGATAGAATCGTAATAGAAGGGCCATCTTGTTCTGATCCATTGGAAGCGCTCAAAAAGGGTGGCGAGAAAGCAGGGGCTGAAATGGACGTAGAAATGCGGAACTACTTAGACAATATGGATATGAGCGGGTGGGATTAAAGACTGCTGTCATCGAGCCGGGAAACAGATTGTACGCAATATTGGTAGCCTCCCAAGCACCCATTCGGAAGGAAAATATCTGCTCAATGGGCTGATCAGTGGATAGCAGGGAGGATGAAAGACGTCTTGCTTTCTATTATGGGGGATGGGGGACTGGCAAACGTTTTCCATATGTATCAAACTGAAATTGCTTTGGTGGTGAGCACACCACGCAGCTTGTACAAATCTAAGCGTCTTTTACGATCAGTACTCGATTGTTCCTGGCGGTGGTAATGAGTGGTAGCTGGAGACGAACAGAAAGACACTCAGATAAAGACCGTGGCCCTGAACGCGATACTGCCTCCACCTACCGTGCAGTCAAACTCGAAATGTTCGCTGGGTTCAGGGATGTGTAATACCGTATTTCAGGTGTGGCTTGACTCCCCAAGCCAGTGACTAGCATCTAAAACTCACAGATGAATGTCTAGCGCGGTAACTAGCTCAAAAAAACAGTCTGATTAAGTATCCCTTCTCGGGCGAACCTTACATGGGCTTGCATATCTCCTCAATTCGCGAAGGCTGATGCCCGCTCATCAATATAAACGGCCTTAGCCATAAGAGACAAGCGTAGATACCGAAGCCGCCAGCTATTGATGCGTATGAGCCCGACCGCAGGTGACAATGACTCAAGTCAGACTCATCGCCCGTTCAAAACTCCTTTTGATTTGGAGGAGATCTTCTTACTCTCCACCTCACAAGCCATACTTCACAAGCTACCTTCGAACGAAGCACCATGAACACTAAGTTTTTACTCTCAATCATACGCTTCTGGAAGAAACGCAAGTCTTCCGTCCAAGTAAATGACGTTCGATTCGAGTTTACTCTCTTGGATCTCCGCGGTTTCGTAGACTTGGAGGACGCCAAAGTGAACAACCCGAGCAAGAGTCTGGAGGATATGAAGAAATTAAACAATAACATGGATGAACTAAGAAAGAACGTGGAGATTGGTAGGCACCCAAGCCCCAGCACAGACTTCAGGACCACAAATACTGACGCGAGCGTACTAGCGGAGGAAAGGTGCACCAAAAAGGAACGTGCCGGCAAGAAGAAAGTCCACGTATGGTTCCGGGTGTGGTACGACAAGAAAGAAGACCGCAAGAAGACTGCAGTCGGTATACGCCGGTGGAGTGTTTGGCGGAGAAGGATGTGTCCGCAGGAAGGATCCTGGGCTTGCAAGTTGGGCGAGGGGTTTCTCAAACAGATCCCGGGAGAGCTTACAAAAACAGAGAAAGCCAGTGGTTCAAAGTTGTAAGCATGCAGCGCCTGAGTAGCATGTGCGGCAAGTGGAATGCAAGGCGACATGGGGTATTTCCTTTGTACGGATACAGGCCGGGGTTGCGGTGTCTTGAAGGTGTATGGATATTAATTATTGACTAGAAACACTCGGCCAACTATGAGTGCATATAGAAGCGATAGCAGGATCAAGAACTACTAATGGTGATTGTTTAACCAAAAACCAGCGCCCTGACCTCAATACTCTCCCTACCAACCGCGCCCTCTGGTGTCCTCGGATCCACGAAAGCCGTGTGGGGTACTCGTCCCCACTGACCCACATTCTCATCGCTATCGAAGCACTTCAACAGCAAACGATCCTCATTTGTCATACCAGACCAATAGTACCACTTCTGCCCCGGGTTATACGCCACAGCCGCAGTCTGTCCGTTCCGATCGGGGTAGCGATGCTCGATAGGTATCAAGTCGCCGTCGCGCACTGTTTGGCTGTCCGCTACCGCAAGCGGACTACCCATCACAGGCCCATTGAGCGGCCGCCAGACATTTATGATGCGGTACCGCCCTTGCAGCAATTGTTCGGCTTCGTCGGGCAGGTGGAACTTGACCCGTTCGGCGGCCGAGAATGGTGTCTGATCGATGTGTACGCGTTGAACGGGGTTGCGGTTGCCGGTCGGTCGGCGGATCGTGTGGTCGAAGAGGAGGACTCTTCGCGCGCCTTGTACGTTCTTCATGAGCAGTTGCTCGACTTCTGGGTAGTATACGCGTTTTACCGCGTCATCGTCGGAGAAACCATCTCTATCCAGCCCACTCTTGATGTTCTGGTATGTATCGAAGGCGTTGTTGTCAAGTGTGAATCTTTGCTCCTGACCTCGTAGGTCGTTGAGTTCTACTTTGGTCCAGTCGTCGCCCCAATTCCGTTGTGGCACGCCTGGGAGCGGCTCGACGTAGTTGTGTGGTGGTGAACCGTCCTCAGGGGCTTTGTAGAAGGACAGCGATGCTGTGACGGGGCCGCGAGGGATGGGTAGGCCTTGGTAGTTGACGTCGGAAGAGGTTTTATCGCTGGTGGTGGGCGTAGGGTTGGAGAGTTGGTGTGCGGGTGTCGGAAGAGAGGCGGTGGTCGTCATTTTGGTGACTGGTATGCTAGATTTGTTCGCAATCGAAATGGGAATTGTGTGATCGAAGGTTTGCGAAGACTAGATCGAGGGCTGTGATGGTAGTTGCTGGATCAGTGGCTGTATGATAAGTTGTTTGAATATGGGATATGATCAAGGACAGCTTCGATGCTGTTATATACGTCTACGCGATTAGAAATGCTCCCTACCATTGCGACGTCAAGTCGCCCTTCATCCGCCGGGGCTTCCCCTCATTCGGCATCTCTGTGGCGATGATGCCATAGCTCTATTCCCGAGGCCAAGCTGTGTTACTAATGTTCAGCATCCGATGATCGCACACGTGCTGACAAAGTGTGCGGATTACGTGCTAGGCGTAGCTGTTCGACAATGCGCGCTCGCTATGCCAGTCGTTGGCGTGGTGGTTTGTAACAAATGCGCGGTTTCTAAGCCAGCGTTCATTAAGGGATGAGCAACTGCCCGGAGATGGTTCGGAGATACTTCGGAGAGTCGATTGCGTCATACCTTGTGCCTACCTGTAGCGGAACGCAGCTCAACACCACCACCTTTCGCGACTTCAGCTCTTCATGGTACTCACAATGCCAATATCGCCTTACCGTATGTCTCTCACTCGCTATTCAAACATGGTCAGATGCAAAGAACTCTCATGACTGCGTCCGCGGACCCATCACAAGCAACGAATCAAAACGTTCGTGACCACTGGCGATGCGACTGGGACAGCTTCGAAGCACTGTGGTTATGTAGACAGGACGACACTACAATAGAGGCATCTACGATACATCTTTGCGCATCCAGGCCCGTGTCTAACTGTTGCATGTCTAGCGGCATCGGTCTTCAACTCGCTTCTAGCCGTGATTGCCGTCTTCACCAGCATAAACCGATGCTAAAGCATGCTACTTGTTGGTGGCGTGCGCTTCTACTATGGGGAATCCAGAATTCGATGATTGCATGCGCTCATCGCACGCATCGACGCGTCGCGCCAGTGCCTAATGCATTGGACCCCCTCTACAAGCACTCATGCGTCGTCTCAACGTCATCATGTTCGCATTCGACTGTGACATCGTTCCTCCACCTTTAAACCACATAAAGGTCGCAACCACTACCAGCATACCCCAACATGCTTCGACTTTTCTCAAGAAACCTTCCCACAGCTACCAAATCTATCACGTCAACGTTACGAACAAACCAATTTCTCCCAAGAACTACATACCAGATCGTCAGAAACATGAGTGGCGGCAAGGCTAGCACTGATGAGCTCAAGGGCTCGAAGCTCTTTGATGTTTCTCATGTCACCGCTCTCGTTACTGGTGGAGGAACTGGTATCGGTTTGATGATTACACAAGCACTAGTCGCAAACGGCGCGAAAGTATACATCACATCAAGACGTGATGAAGTATTGAAGAAGACGGAGGAGCTGTACAGCGGCGGTGGTCCAGGCCAAATCATCCCCATCCAGGCAGATGTCAGGTAAGCAACTAGTCTCAAAGTACTCACACAGCTTGGGACTAACACCACCCAGCGAGAAGGACGACGTAAAGCGCCTCTACGAGGAGATGTGCCAAAAAGAGCCAAAGGGAATCCAAATCCTCGTCAACAACGCCGGTATCGCTCGTGACGACAACACCAAGTTCTCCGCAAACGGTCAGCCAAACATGGAAGACGCACAAGCCATCTCCGACCATTTCCTCAAGTCGCAGCCCCAGAACTGGGCCGACACTATGAAGACCAACGTCGGAAGCATCTTTTGGATGTCAATGTACTTCCTGCCCCTTTTGGCTAAGGGCGGCAAGGTCACTCCCGGATACAGCTCGCAAGTCATCAATGTTAGCAGTATCTCCGGATACATGAAGGGAAGCAGCAGTGGCCAGTTCTCTTACGCGTCGAGCAAGGCGGCTGCTACACATCTGAGCCGTATGTTGGCTACAACTTTCGCAGGAACCAAGGTCCGCGTCAACACCATTGCGCCTGGTGTATTCCCAAGTGAGGTATGTAACTCTGATATCCGAGAAGCACATTGGTAAAGGTCGAGCTAACACAATGTAGATGACTACTGGCACTTCCGACGAGGACAACAAGAGCCGTATCGAGTCCGGCATGAGCAACCCCGCTGGTCGTCCTGGTGCTGACACTGATATGGCTGCGACTGTACTCCTACTGGCTGGTCCAGGTGGCGTCTTCTTCAACGAGCAGGTCTTGTACCCTGACGGCGGAAGCACACTCACGCAGCCCGCAGCGAGGGCTTAGACGTTAATCTGTGAGCAGCCTCATGGGTAAAAATCCATATACTAGATGCGATATATCGAATGTAAATACAACGATCATGCATATCCTTGTTCTGTGTCGCGTCACCTTCGTGTTCCTGTTCAAACTGAACGCGTCTTTTCGCGAGTTGGGAAGTTTGCCGTGCCCCACCCCGCCGAAGCCTTCCGAAACCCCACCACAAGCGCAAACTCTTTCACGCTACACTGCGACCACCCACCCCAGCAAGCAGATGAATTGCTGCAATTATTGACCGACAGCTATATGGTCGCAGCCAACTACTAGTACAATACATTTTCTCCAACCTCCATCAATCAGTTCAACTGGCCTAATGGCCCA